GCACAATACAAAAGCAGCCAAACGTTGTATTTGGATATGAGACATTTTAAGCACAGGAGAAATTACTTTAACCTGCAAATAAAGCAAGGAAATGAACAGTGAAAGAATTTGGCAGAAATGATGACCAGTTCACTAATATCCATTCTTCAAATACATATGTTGAATCAATAGTTTCCCTTTATCACTATTGCAAATATATCAAGGTGTGTTACACCATGAGTGTTGAAGGTACTGCTCTCTGATATCGTGGATATTTTCAAACAAACTTTTTGAGTTATACACAATGCCTTGTAGACTATTTGTAACAAAAATAATTTGCAATGAAATCTACCTGCTAGTAAAGGCTGGCTTATAAATCAGTTTGGTCTTTAGAAATTACTAGATTCTTGTAAATTATTCAGATTGAATGATTGAGAATATTTCAAACAGTCAAATCATCAACTTGTTTTGATGAATATTGGGTAGTGGATAACAGAAAAATACTGTGCCTACAGAGTGCTTGTCTACCTCTGGTGGCTCTGTCTGTCAGATTTTATTGCAGAAATAGAAAAGGTCAAAGAACATACCTGAATATGAGGAATCCCATGCTTAGAGGTGTAGTGTATGTTGTGAAGCTGGTCTGAATTAAGTTGTCTATCTGCATGGACAAAAGACTTTGTGATTAATTCAAATGAAGTAAGTTAAATCACATTTTCATGTAATTAAATAAATATTCATCACTGTTATGGGAGGGGAGAGGAAGTTGTCTTTGCAAACTGAGCTAACATTGTTCTTTTCATCTGTAGAAAGAGAAGTACCATACTCATCTAGCTGTCTTGTACTTGGAGGCAATAACTCAGCTAAAATCTGAGACCACAGATAATTGTACAGAAACAACTGAACTGCTGTTTAAATTACGTAGTTTGCTTCAGAAATCTGATCTTTATAGAATTCGCTTTATTTTGGGTAAGTTGCATATTGTCTGTTAGAAATGCTGTATGTCATTTCCAGCAGGAAACAAAATAGCAGTCCTTGCAAGGATATAAAACTGAGAGATCTGAGGTTTCTAGGTGTGTGTGCTTGGTAGGCTGTATTTCTAACAGACACAAGTTAATTTAGAAGTCATATCAACATATAGTGTTGTCTGTGATCTCCCATAGCTCGTGAGGTACAATCATATGCTTGGCACTGCACCAAGGACCAAATACCATAACTGACTAGAAAAAATATCTTCATACAATTGTTGTAATAGTCAGTGGTTTTCTTAATGATGAGCATGTGAGTTGTGACAACCTTTTGCAAATGAAAGTTTATTTATTGATTTATTTACAAGTTCATTTTTAAACAGTCTGTTTTTCAATGAATGGAAATGAAACCTGGAGGAATTTGATTATCAAGGACTTGTTTGTTGTCCATAACCTTGAAACTCTCACCCGAAAAACTGGGGTTCATGTTAAACAAAAGCATGAGCATCTTTTTGAGTGAAAAGTTCAACATACATCTTACTGTTGGTGTAAGGCAAGCAACAGTTGAACTAAATCTTTTCCTTGGTCAGTGCTTATAATGGTTAATTTTTAACGTTTCATCCACTGTAATGCAAACACACACTGCAGTTAAGACAGTCATGCGTTTAAAGCCTCTCTGGTATGGAGGATGATGGCTGAAGGATGAAAGGAAGGATGGAATATTGAATGAAGGGAAGTGACTTGTTATTGCACTGAAAGATGTTAAAATGATTTTTTTGAAATTCAGTGGAAAAAATCCAGTGTGGATGTGGAAATAAAAATAGCTGAGTAGCAACTAAAATAATTTACCAATGTTTAATGTTCCCTTGCCTTTCCAGACAGCAAAATGTTATATGACAGATAATGTACAAGTATAACACAGTCATTGAAACTCTTGCTCTTTTTCATCTTTTAGTTTTTAAATAAATTTTAAATTTTAAATAAATTTTAAATTTTTAAGGGCAAGAGTTACAAAATAGATTTTCTTTTCAAGTAAGAAATCCTGTATTTCAATTCTAATGTTACTTGGAAGTGACATCAATGCAAGGTAGTGTGTTCCTCCTTGATAACCAGAATATTATGTTGAGAAAAACATTGTATTTCTATACATTTTGTATAGGCCTATGCCAAATCTTTGTCACCTTTACAATAAGTAGAGCATTTTCTACTTTATCTTGAAATGCCAGATGAACTTGTCACTCCACCTGCCTATTGCTGACACTTAAACTTTAAACTGTCAGACTGGATTAAGTGTTTGTAGTGTCCTTTTCTTAAAGGAAAGTGCTATTTGATCTTTAGTGGGTTTTATGGACTTTATTTTGTAACTTCTTGTAGTATTGGGAGAAGCAGAGCTTAATATTGCAGCTTCATCTTACAGTTTATTATACATGGTAGCAGTGTATGCAGAAATATGCAAGACTGACCTGCTAGAATTAAAAGGATGTCAGGAACAGTGGCTTATCACCTGTCATTTAGTAATTTTTTTGTCCCAGATTTTGTGGTGTTCTTTTCTTGGAGATGTGTTTCCATACCTCTAGGCACTCCTGTGCTTACAAGCATCTAGTTAAGAGGGTGGTGTTGGGTCATGGGTTGGACTCGACAATCTCAGAGGTTTTTCCACCCTAGTTGATTCTGTGATTCTGTGATCTGTACTCTCTATAGTTGCCAGCACTCCTGCAAAAATAGCAGGAGTTGAGTTCTGGGGGCTTGTTTGCATTGACTCTGGGAGATGGAGCAGTTGTCTATTCCACTGAGCAAATATTGCCTTATTTCTCACTTAACAGACAAAATCCAGGGCACAGACCTTCATATGGAAAGTGCAATTTTATATGGGAAACTAGAAGAACATGAGAAGGCTTTGCATATCCTTGTCCACGAGTTAAAGGACTTCCATGCTGCTGAAGAATACTGTATATGGAACTCTGAGAACAGAGACATGCAGTACAGACAGAGGCTTTTCCATATGCTGCTCTCAGTGTATTTAACTCCAGGCACTTCGGACTGTGCACTAGTCATGGCTGCTGTGGATCTCTTGAATAACCATGCTGCTGAATTTGATGCAGGTCTAGTTTTGCAGGTGGTGCCTGACAGCTGGTCAGTGCAGCTCCTCTCCCCGTTCCTGACTGGAGCAGTGAGACAAAGCATCCACACAAAAAGAATGACTCAGGTTGCACTTGGCTTAGCACAAGCTGAAAACTTAATTTACAAGCATGAGAAGGTAGGTTGCTGGTTTTTTTTTAAATGGAAGCACTTTGAAGCATTACAGTTGAGTCCTTTGATATATAATAATCAGAAGAAGTTTGAAGAATTAGGACAAAAGTTGTCTTTGTGTCCTTGGTGCTTTTACTTGCTGCATTTATTAGGGTTTTTTGCCATGACTACTAGATTCAGAACTAATTTTATGCTCTCCCTGTAAAACAAAAGGGAAAATGTGGGCCTTGAATAGGAACAATCTTGGTGAGCCTCTGGGCTGAATGAAAGTGAATCTGCAGATTAACAAAGTTATTGCAGAAACTTTAACAAGTGTGAGTTATCATTTCTTTTGCCAGGAGGGAGACCTGTCAAAATTTGTAAAAAAATTTATCCAGAGCTCAATATTAGTTGAAGCTTGTTAGTAGATTTCATTAATGGTACATTCAGTTGTGAAGCTTTCTTCTTTTCCTAGCTATGGCAGTGTTGCTTAAAGCTCCCAGCAGATTCTTAAAATTGTTTTTGTTTTGTCCATTTGGTACAGTTGAAATTATATGCTTCATCATTTCCCTTCCCTTCTTGCTAGATTCATATTTGGAATTGTTTTCTCTCTCTTTAGGTTAAACAAAGAGGAACCCCGATTCTTCTTTCAGATAAAAAAGTCTGTCAGGTGTGCCAAAATCCTTTCTGCGAGCCTGTATTTGTAAGATACCCAAATGGGAGTGTGGTCCACACGCACTGTGCTGCCAACAGACATCTGAATTCAAATGTGACTCATCACTCTTCCAGCTCCAGCAATCAGACTTGAACTGTGTTCCAGTCCCACAGGTTCCCGTGACTTACACTCTATTGAAAGTGGGCTGGAGAGAAAGGATGAAGTGCAGCTACTTTAAGTATAAATCAAGATGGACAGCTAGTTTTTTGGGTTAATAGGAAGACTTCCAGTAAATATGAAATATTGCCACTTATCTTTCTGATTTCTAATGAATGTAGATAGAAAAAAAAATTCACTACCAGACATGGAGAGGTGCAAATATGGGCTCTTCTGTATATAGGAATAAACACTTAAAGAAAATGAGCCTTTTCTTCACAGTGAGGATGAATGTTATGGAGTCAAGGCAAACAGTTATTTTAAGAACTGTCACTTTGCACTGAATGTGGTGTTCATAAGTTGGTAGAGGTGGAGATGGCATCTATTGAGTTGGAATTCTTGAAACATGACAGGACAAGATTGGCATGGTGCAGCTTACCATCAAGACAAAAACGTGCATCAATTATAATGTTTGCTGCAGCATGTCTTCTTTTGGGCTGGATTCTCTTCCCCAGGATCACATTATGAAGTTCATTTTTTTTGCTCTACAAAATGTTGGGTCTTGATGCACTTTTTAGGACCTCCCTCCCATCCACCTATATGGAATTTAAATTTAAGCACTGATCTGTTGGGTTTCAGCTCCTGCAGTTCCTGTAATAAACTGAGTGGAAACCGACAGCCTCAGTCACACAGGTGTGCTTGGAAGAAGAAGAAAAAAAACAACAAAGATTGTCTGGTCAGACTGTAGTCACTTTTATATGGGGGAAGAGACCTTAACTTTAATATTGATTTATTTATTAATATGCAAATATACTGTACATACAGTTGAATAAATTGACCTTATCATTCTAGAGTTTCTTTGGAGGTGGAGGATTAAGATGTAGTTGATACATAAGTGTACAGATTATGTGCGAAGTGTTTGCTATAACATAACTTAGGCAGGTTGGAACTTCACAAGAACAGGTTTTAGTCCTTGTTGATGACTTTGTGCAATCAAAACCACATAAAGAAGGTATAATTGGCAAGAAATCTACAAAAGTGCACTACAGGGGTACTGGATTTGTTATATTCTACTAAACATTCTGTAAACTAAGTTTTTTCAAATAACAACACAAACTCCTTATTTAACTGCCCTGATCTGTGTTCACATTGCTATTTAACCATTTTAAAGCAGGAATTTAAAAGAGGCTGCTTTCCCCAAGAGAAGTCAGAAAAATTACAACTTTAAATAAAAGTTAAGTATTTCAAAGTTAAAGCATTTCTTTTCATTCTGTAAAGCTCTAATAAATGCCAGGCTTACTGACCAGCATGCAGTTGCTTCCCTGTTTCAGCATTCCAAATCAGTGGAGACTTACAGCAAAATGGAGTATGTGCATGTAACTTTATAGAATCACAGAATATGCTGAGTTGGAAGTGACCCATCAGAATCACCAAGTCCAACTCCTGCAGGACACCCCAAGGATCACACCACGTGCCTGAGAGCCTTGTCTAGATACTGTCTCCTTTTATAGAAAGGTTGACTTACAAAACTACCTTCTAAGTGTAGCGCTGCCTCTGAGAAGGGGCAACCAGCCCCAATCCAGGGGAAAAAGATATCCATGTCTTTCTCATAGAATCATACAATGGTTTGAGGTGAAAGGAACTGTAAAGATCACCCAGTCTAACCCCCCTGCCAGGGGCAGGGACACCTTGGCCAGACTGTTCAAAGCCTCATTCAACCTGGTCTTGAACACAGCCGGGGATGGAGTGTCCACAGCCTCTCTGAGCAACCTGGCCCAGTGTGTCACTACCCTCTGAAGAATTTTTTCCTAATACCTGATCTAAATCTGCCCTCTGTCAGCTTAAGGCCATTCCCCTTTGTCCTATCACTACATGGGTACAAAGTCCCTCTCTGGCTCCCTTGTGGGCTCCCTTCAGGTACTGGGAGGTACTATAAGGTCTTCCCAGAGCCTGCTCTTCTCCAGGCTGAACAACTCCAGCTCTCAACCTGTCTTCATAGGAGAGGTGCTCCAGCCCTCTGATCATCTTAGTGGTCCTGCTCTGGCCTCATTCCAACAGGTCAACATCTTTCTTGTATTATGGCCCCAGAGCTGTACACAGCACTCAGGGTGGGGAGTACTTTGCTTTAAAGCAAAAGACCTTTGAATCTTTCCTAATTTTGAAATTAGGAAAGTATAACTGTTGTGTTGAATTTTATTTATTTTTAAAAACCCAAGTCAGGAATTCTGTAGTGCTTCCTACTAAGATATATAAGCCATATTTAGTGAGAGGCACTTACAAAGAAGTCAGGTATGGGCATTTCTGACTCAATTCAGGCTTGAGTGATTCTGCTGTGGCACTGGTATGAGCAGACTATCTTGTATTCATGGGTTTTGAACATTGTGTATACAACTGGCAATGATGACATAGGCAAATTTTTAGTCCTTGGTCCTCAAAATACTTACTGATAGAGAAGAAGTGGTTTTTACGAAGACTGTAAGACTTGTGTGCAGTACCCTGCATTTCGTAAGAAATACTTCCATTTGCTGCCAGCGTCCTCAGTGTGCTCTTTGTTCTGTTTAATAAGGAGTATTAAAACAAAGACCCTTCTCCGTGATTTAGACTAATTCTAGTCACCAGGTAGTGATGAACTTAGTCTTGTCAACTGCTGTTGCAATGGAATAAAGATCATATCATTCTAGACCACAGGAAAGTTCTTAATTTTTATTGCATGAAAAGGTATGTCTGTAAAAGATTAAACAATCCTTTATTAATATTTTTTTGCAAATGTGTGTTTTGGCTAAAATGCAGCAGAAATAATAATTGTTCTGACATACAGAACAAATAGAGAAATCAGAATAATGCAAGGTAGCATATTTGCAATCATAGGTGTTCGAAAGCGTGATTAATATTTAAATTGGGGGCATTTAATTTTAGGTCTTCCCCCTCCCCTGAAATGTAGACTTGAGAAGTATTGACATTTCATTCATACATTGTTACCTGTTTCTTTTTTAAATTTTATACTAGAGCTCATTTGGATGAATTAACATGGAAATCCCTAGGTAATAAAAGGAAAAAGAAAATAAACCAATGTGAGGCTGAGGCAGAACAAGAGCTCTGCAGGGAGGTGGCTCTTCCACTGTGTGTGCAGTTGGGATACTCTGGACGAGCAGAGATGTTGACCTATGTCAGAGTGGTATGTGGTATTCAGTACTTTGTCACCAGGAAATTTGTGAAAGGTCTGCATTCAAATTTCCTTAGGTAGGACAACTGCAACACCCCTTGGGTAAGAGAACTTCACGCTGGGGAACGAGTTCATTTCTCTTTTTATTTTGGCGCTGTCAGTTTGTTCATTCTTGGTTTATGGACGTGAAGTCCTTGGACAGCATTGCTACTGTGTTAAGTTCTGGTATGGCTGCAGCAGTGTGGAGGGAATGACTGGTAATCTAGCTATTAATTGCTGACTGGATATGTGAAGGAGGAGAGGCAGGAAAAATATTTCTCTGACCATCCTTCTAGTTTGGATATTAAATGCTTTGTGGGGCTTTAAGCTTGATGCAATCTTTTTATCTACAGTCAGGGAATGTGGTGTCTTAGACCTGCCCTTGGAGAGAGGAGATTCTGTCAGAATATTTCTTAATTTAGCTATTGCTAAATTGTTTGTAATTCATCTCTATCCCTTTTTCCAGTGAGTCTCCTCCAACTTTTATGTGTGAAAACCAAAACAGAAGTGCAGATAGATTTATTTTTTTTTAATGTGATAGTGTGTCTGTGATTCAGGACATAGTAACTAAGATTAGTCTCTCATACAGATGCCTCTGCAGATACTGAGATGTGTTTGCCTAACATGTAGCTTCTACTTACTGAAATATTGCAGCTCTGACTTTTTTAGCCATCCACTGTTACAGTTGATGGTACGTACAAAAAGCACTTGTTAAACCTTCTTCTACCCTTTCATATCTCCATGCTTCCTCACGTAAAAATTACCTATGATATGGATATGTCATCATATGCAGTTTTTCCTTCTTTAAGCCAAAAAGAGGAAAAATCCTAATGAGAAAAAATTGCTCAGAATCTGGCACTCTGCTCAAAATAAGATTCACGCTGTACATTCATGAGAAAGAATTCAATTACATCTTCATTTCTTCTATTTACATGGATAAGTTGTCACATTGAGATCAGTATTCTTGTAATATTGTCAGAGTCTGGAGAAAATAAGCATTTGGGATTCGTTACACAGAGCACACCACAGGTACCTATGAACTGCCTTCCTCAGACAGCCCATACTGTGGTGACTCGGGTGTGCTCAGAAGTCCAGGTTAGAATGATAAGTTCTCTCTTTGCTCCCCCTGCTCCCAATCTCCAGCAACTTTCCAGCCTTTGTTATCTTTTCTAGCACTTAATTGACATGGGTGTAAATCTTAAGAGGTCTGGGGGACTCTTGAGCACATTTATCTTCAGTAAAATGTCTCTTTTTTACATCCACCCTATGAAACCCTACTAACCTGAGCTGTGGAAAGGTGGTGGTAGGGATGGAGTATGTGTATGTTTTCTGAGAACTTTATTACATGTTTAAACACACAAGCATTATCCTGACTGCTGAATCTTTATAACATCTGTTCTTTGCAGGACTTCTGTCCTGAATGACATTGAAAAGTATTTTGCATTATACAGTTCTATCAAGAAGTAACTTTTTATTTTATTACTCTTCCCTCTATTCAGCATGGCTCTAAGTGTTTTATTAACATCCCGCTGTTCATAATAGGCAGCAACTAATAAATTTTCATTGTGAGCTCTCTTCCTATTGCCTATATTTGCTAATTAATTTTTCTCTTGTTGTACAACACTTTGGGGCTTATGCCTTGTGAACACTGGTAATTAAATGTGCTGCTACTTTTTAAGGGAAAAGAAGAAAAGAAGTTAATGACATTCTGTAGTGTCTGATTGATTGCAAAACTGAAGTTCCCCTGCAGTAAATTTGTTCAGATGGAAATCTGTACTGTTAAGACTTTCGGACTTAGTGGTTATTTGGTGAACATGTACAGCAGTATGTGGAATGTACAAATGTATATATATGTTGATTTTTAATAAAAAAATCTTTTAATTATGTTTGTTGTTGATTCATAGATCTATAGACCCTGGAACGTGAATGGCCAAGTGAAGGGGAAAGGTTTTTAGTGGTAAATAGAGGATTCATCAGGGTGACTGACACAGGGGGTCAGGTGAAGAGGCTGAATTACACAAGTGCAGGATGTTAATGGAAATAAGCAGGTGTTCTTAAAAAACAGTGAATTTTACTTTGGTTTTGTCTCTTCCTTGATTGAATCTGAGTTTTTACAGATTCAGATAAAAGCAACCACTGCCGTTATAGCTTTGGAAGACCTTGATCTGCCTCTGTGTAGTCAAAGCAATCCCTTCCGTGATTAATCAGGCAGTTGCAGAGGGAGTCTGGTCAGTGCCAGGTGCATGGACATCCTAGAGCAATATGAACTGAACTACTAAACCATTTTGAAGAGAAGACCTTGAAGCAGGGCTGGTGTTGATCTGGGAGCTTAGCTGGTAGTTGAGCAGTGGAAGTGGGTGCTGTTTGCAGAGGCACCTCTGGAAAGAGGTAGAAAGGGAGCTTAATTTAAAAAAATAAAAATTAGGGAGACAAAGATGCGAATGCCACCAAGATTTTATGGTGGTAATTTTTATTACTGGAGCTTCCTAACTCGCCCTTAGGATGCCAGTAGCAAAGTTACTGCCAGAGCCTACCCCGTGTTCCCAGGAAAAGGGAATTATTATATCCCTGCAATGTGGAAGTGAGGCTGGCATACTCTGCAGAAGGCAGCCAGTGTTCCTCATCTTGCTCCTCACTGCTCAGGGCTAATGGCCCTGGCTTCAAGGCCAAAGGACCAGGTGTTCCCTATTTCCAGCAGGAGGGGCCAGAGCCATCACAGTGGTACTGTAGGACCTGCTCATGAGGAAACCCTGGGAAAGGAAGGATGGTAAAGGCTGGTAAGTATGTGATAAACCACAGAAACTCATGTTGTCTCCAAGGGGAGGTAGTAAGAGAGGACAAGTACAGAAAAGAAGTGTTTAGGACATGACTGCTTTCCAGCCCCACTCTGCCAGGCAAGGCAGGCACTAGCAATGCTTCAGGCATCTGCTGGATGCCAAACACAGGTTGTGTGGGCAGCGTAGAGGGGATCCAGCAGGGCAAAATTCCAACAGAGTGGGAACTACAGGGAAGAGCTCTTGTTTTGAAGTTCAGGTCTGTGCTCTCTTGACAAGGTTCTACAGACCTATCAGGTCAAGTTTGTTCCTTTGGCTTAAGTGAAGGCTGTG